CCCCTCGAAGGGCAAGAGAGACCCAGCAGACGCCGCCCAGTGGAACTCCGCCCGGATGCAGGAACACAAATAGGCCGCACAGTTGCAGGCCCCTCCCTCAGCCAACCTCCTCTCCCTGGTTTTATAAATTGCCATCTTGGCGATAGCCAGGAGGAGGTTAACGAGGAGGTCCTGCAACTCTGTGGGGCCACGGCTGGGGTGCATAAATTATTAGGTGAGGGGAGAAGTGCAGCCAGAGCATCAGTAAGAGGTTCTGGAGAAGCAGAAAGAGGAGCTGTAACCTGGCGCACTTGAGGTAAAACTGTGCTAGGTCTCCCTCTCGCCACGGAAGGGGCAAGTGTTAGGGACAGGGGTAAACCACACCAAGCACACACCTGTGCTCACAGTGCCATGACCCAGAGCCCTGCACTTACTTGCTCTCCTCCCCCTACCTCCCAGCACTTTCAGCATACACAAATCACCTGATTCGCATACTGTTCCAGCTTCTCTCCCTCCCTCCGTCCGTCCCAGAGCTGGAATGCCACAAACCTTAATGCAATGTCAGCTTCACAACACATGAACCTGAAGTGGAGGATCTGGTCCCAGAAGGTAGTAAGGCAAGTCAGTCTCCATGCAAATTTTAGAACTCTCTGGACAATATTATTTTTCTGGTGATGATGTGGGTGAAGCTTAAGAGAAACGTGGTGTCTTCACTGTCCTCACTTCCCAACAAATTAGCATGCAAACTTAATCAATGGCCATTTACACCTGGGTTTTTCATTCTCTGCACCCCTCCTACTTCAAAATAAACATTTATGTCGGTGATACCTGGTGAATAAAGCATCACTATTCACCTCCTTGACAGACCTGTGAATATTCTACAGAATACTCTGTAGCATATAATATTGTTACTCTATAGCAGTGCAGAGAGGTGTAGTTATTTCACCAAGGTGTCATAAGAGTCAGTGGCTGAGCCAGGGACAGAACCCAATCCTGCTGTCCTCCTGCTCTAACCACTAGGCACATCATTCCTCTCTTATCCATCTGTAACTGATCACTACAGGAATCCAAAGAATTTTTAATAGACAATTTGTAATGGATTATTTGGCAAAAGGAGGCTGTGAGAAACTATGGTTCCATTAGGGATATGAAGGTTACCTGATAAACATAATCCATAACAGTTAACTGTTACCCAGAAATAGCCCCGCACGGGAATAGGGGGTGGGAAGAGGGCTGCCAGCTCCCAACCCACATAGGCTCATGGGCTGGGAGTCTGCAATCTTCCCTTCCCACTTCTGGGCACCCCCCACATGCAAGGCTGCCATCTCCACTTGCCCCCATTCAATCAGTCCAGCTGGACTGCTGATTGGGAGCATCTGTGGTAAGCCAGAGCCTGCACCTAGCACTTCCTCCGGCACCTCAGTCCTCTAACCCAGGTCACACAACTCCCTCCTGCACCCAAACCTTCTGCACCCCCACCTCAGGACACAACCCGTCATACACTCAAACTCCCTTCCTGCCCCAGAACAGAATCTGCTTTCAGAATTCCCCCAATGCCCTAGTCAGAGCTCCCTCCTGTACCCAACCTCCATTCCAGACCCTGCACTCCCTCCATTAATAGTAGAAAAGTGCGACTCCTGACCACTTGCCAAATTCTTAGAGTGCTCTCCCTTCAAAATTATTGCCCACCTCTGAGATATTGTGTCTTGAAAGCATTAAAGATACTTTGTTACAAAATTACAAATTAACACAATATTGTGGTATCTGATAGAAAGACCTGATGAGTTTATGGGTTGTTTAAAGCAGAACCCCCAGCCAGTTCAGCAATAGTTCTCAGCACATGTGAGAATCACCCAGCGGACACCAGTTTGTTGGCAAAACAGCCAGTGACTATTCATTTATGACAACGAGGGTTCAGCCAGAAAGAGTGACTCTCCCCTCTCAACTCTGGAAATGAGTTGTCAGAAAGGATAATGCAGCAGGATTGGGCCCCCAGGAACTGTCAACCTATTAATTTTTTTTCCATTGGAGTCCTGACATCTAAAAGACCCTCCCCCAGCCTATAAGGAGGATCCAAAGAGCCCTGGACACCAAATGATTCCAGGGGACGAAGAAAGAAAAGAAGGACAAGGTGTGAGGGTCAAAGGAGGGAACCAGAGGGGGACACCGAGCAGAGAACCACGGACAGTGCCCACAGCCCCTCGAAGGTCAAGAGAGAGCCAGCAGACGCCGCCCAGTGGAACTCCGCCCGGATGCAGGAGTCAAAACCCCCTCCTGCACTAGGTCAAAACACAAACCTCTTTACCCCATCCAGCACCCCTCTTCCAGGTCTGAATTATCTCCTTCACCCATACACCTCCTCTTCCCCTCTCCTGCAACCAGACCCCTACCCTGAGCTCCCTTCTGCACCCAACCTCCATTCCAGACCCTGCACTCCCTGCCTTTTAAATGTAGTAAGAGCCAAGTGGCAGAGCCTCAGCAGGATTAGCTCCCGGAGCTGGGAGCTAACTCTGATGTGGTGCTGCAGTCTCCCTCTTCATCAACGAATTGAGAAATTAATGGAAATTC